TGGTAGTCCACTGCTGTGTTTTTTTCTTTCTTCTTTGACCTCTTTGCAGCCACAGGACAATAATAGAGATGTCAGTGCCTACCTTTCAAGATCCTATTTTTACTTCATTTTGTTCTCTTGTGTATATATATAACACTATATTTTTTTCTTTTTTGCCATCTGTAATTTATGTGGTGATTCTTCTAGTTACAAAAATGTTCTTTCTACTTTTCATTTTTGGAGCAAAACTGTTCCCAGAGTTTGATTACCACGTGTATTATCACATCTTTGACAGCATTAAATGCTTTTTTTGTATTTATCTCATTCATTTGTAGGCCTCATTTGTAAGCCCAGTTTCTGTTAGCTCATATGAACCATTTCAAAATGTTATACAATTTAAAATGTGTCACGTCATGTTTTCAAATATGTCAAATAAAATAGGTATTTTTATTATTAAACGGGATAGTTAAAGACTGCAGCTTTTCTGTGGCATTTGATTTTCTGTTTTGAGTTTGCAACTGCATAGTGTTTACTTTGAATGCTTCTATAAGCATGAGGCAGATAAGAAAAAAGCAACCTGTTAACAAAGTTTCTTGGGAGTACTTTATCTACCAGTCAAAAGTTTGGAATAATTAGGATTTTTAATGTTTTTTTTAAAGTCTCTTCTGCTCACCAAGCCTGAATTTATTTGATGGAAAATAGAGTAATATTGTGAAATATTATTATAATTTAAAATAACTTTTCTATTTGAATAGATGTTGAAATTTAATTTATTTCTGTGATCAAAGCTGTATTGTCAGCATCATTACTCCAGTCTTCAGTGTCACATGATCTTCAGAAATCAATCTACATCCCCAATTCCAGAAAAGTTGGGACGTTTTGTAAAATGCAACAAAATCAAGAATCTTCTCTCTAATTTTTATTTAATTGACAACAGCACAAAGAAAAGATTTCCAAAGTTTTCACTGACCAACTTAAATGCATTTTGTAAATATAATTTTTTTTTTATGTTGATGGCTGCAACACACGCCAAAAAAAGTTGGGACAGAGGCAAAATAAAAGTGAAAAGGTGAACATCAAAGTTAAAGAGTTCACAGTAAGCAGGTGAATTGGTGCCTGGTGAGGGCGTCATGTTTGAGTATAAAAGGAGCATCTCACTCTGCAAGCAAAGCTGGATCGTGGCTCATCATTTTGTGCAAAATTTAATGAGAGAAGTGTCACACAAATCAAAAATCACATTTCTCAATGCTAAATCTTTAAAAAAAAATTTAATTTAAATAAAAAGTCTTAAAAAATTTTTTTTATGGCATTTCACAAAACATCCCAAATTATCATTGTTAGTAAGTTTTTGCTGCTTATATATGGAAACCATGATACACTACCATTTAAAAGTCTGGGCTAAGGTTTTTTTTAAAGAGAAATTAATACTTTGTATTCAGTTTTGGTGACAGTATAACATTTGTATAACGTTACAAAACATTCTATTTCAAATAAATTATTTGCATCACAGCAATAAATTACATTTATTTAAAGATTCTTAAAATAGAAAAGTTATTGGAAATTGTAACAATATATTACAATATTACCGTTTTAAAAACATAAAAAGACCGAAGTATTCCAAACCTTTGGCCTGTAGAGTGTATGTTTGTGCTAAACTGATGTATTTACTTTAAGATATGTGAATGTTGATGCTGTTCTAGGTGAAGAGTTCACATTTCCCACAGAGTTGTGTATTGAGATCTGCTCTGAAAGAGCCCTGTATTCGCTCTCACACCTCCGCTGCAGATTCTGCTGGCTGCCTCTTGTGATCATTGCTCTGCAGACTTCAGCCTCCGACAGCAGCACAGGTAAAACTCTGAACACTGCAATACTCCAAAACTACCGCTTCAGCAAATCTTTTGTAGAGAGTGATAGCGCAGCTCAATTTGGGTTGCTTTTATACAGATCGTGACTTTATTGCTGTCAGCACATAATGAATCTAGTCCTTTTTTGACCATTTTTATTTATGTGTGCCTTTTTTGCATGAACTTGTGACTTGCAATAGTTGTGGTCAGTGTAATGTTGGTTATTTACGTATGTTCTTGGCAGCCAGCTTTCCACAATGTGCATATTTTGATGCAATAACTTTATTGATATGACTCAGAGTAGTGTTGAGCTAAAATATTTCATGCAGTAATGTGCGTATGATGCCAGTTAGACAGTTGTGCTTTTTCATACAGAGTATGTGTTTTGATTTGATCTATTCAGAAACCAGACATTTTCCCTGCTTGTGCACAGATGAAAAGCATGAGGCACATAGTGATTCTGATGACTCTCATAAGTGGTAAGTTAATGCAATTTAATTTTGCCTGTATATAGCAAAGAACTTTAAAAAGAATTGTGTGCATGTAAATGGGAATTGTATTGGACTCATTTTGTTAACAGATTAATAATCGAGTTTTCTCATAGCCGCGTTCGCCGCTCCATTTGTGAAAGGGGAGCAGGCCAAGAAATCTTTACGTCTAAAGAGACAGTCTGGCATTTTTCTAGATTTAATTTTGTTTTATACGTATGCTGGATGTTTAAATGAAGATGCATTGAAAATGTACTCGCTTGCTTGATCTGTGCAGATTTCTCTCCTGATTCAGACAAGACGACTTTTTCAATGAAGAAAGCAAGATTATGGATCAAGGAATATTTTAGCCAATTTGAATGGTGGTTAAAAATGTATTGATGGGTTTGTTTCAGCTTTTCTCTTCTCAAGCTGTTAACTGATGGACTGGAGTGCTGTGGATTATTGTGATGTTTTTATCAGCTGTTTGGACTCTCATTCTGACGGCACCCATTCACTGCAGAGCATCCATTGCTGAGACACTGATGCAATGCTACATTTCTACAAACCTGATGAAGAAACAAACTCATCCTAATCTTGGATGTCCTGAGGTTAAGTACATTTTCAGCATTTTTTTTATTTTGGGTGAACTATTCCTTAAAGACATCAGCAGTCAAAGTGTTTAATAAGCCTGTATTTGATTGGAAAACAGATTAAAACAAATTAAAGAATAGTGCAGCGGATAAAAGAATGAAGAAATCCACGTGATTCTAATGAAATTAAGCTAAGTAATTAGTATATCACAGCAACATGTTGTCTGTGTGGCAGGCAAATGAATACTGGACTGATCTGAGAACAGATGCTCAGTATTACATGGACATGGGAAACCTGGTGTTTGACAGCTCTCTGACTGAGTGAGTATCTTAAGTATAGTCTGAATTATGAGATGCAATACAATAACAAGGAAATAAATGTTTTTTCCTCTCCATAGTGAGAGCAATAGGCTCTACATGGACATGCTGAGGAACGTAAGAGCACAGTTGGATGCACACGCAGGCCAGCAGTGATGGATATGGACAGAAACGATTGACTGATGATTTTCAGCATTTTTTTTATTTTGGGTGAACTATTCCTTAATGACATCAGCAGTCAAAGTGTTTAATAAGCCTGTATTTGATTGGAAAACAGATTAAAACAAATTAAAGAATAGTGCAGCGGATAAAAGAACGAAGAAATCCACGTGATTCTAATTAAATTAAGCTAAGTATATCACAGCAACATGTTGTCTGTGTGGCAGGCAAATGAATACTGGACTGATCTGAGAACAAATGCTCAGTATTACATGGACATGGGAAACCTGGTGTTTGACCGAGTGAGTATCTTAAGTATAGTCTGAATTATGAGATGCAATACAATAACAAGGAAATAAATGTTTTTTCCTCTCCATAGTGAGAGCAATAGGCTCTACATGGACATGCTGAGGAACGTAAGAGCACAGTTGGATGCACACGCAGGCCAGCAGTGATGGATATGGACAGAAACGATTGACTGATGAAGTCAGTGGCGAGGGCTGAGGCAGCTTTGCTGATCTCAGGGTTGTGAGCAGGGCAGCAGCCAATTTTTAGCAAAGAGTTCTCTTAGAGATTGCAGTTAGGTTGCAGCAATGCTTTTTAGCGTAAGTGCTTATACAGTATGGAAGACTTAAAAATAACATGAATAATTCCATTATCAGTGGATAGTATTGGATAAAGAAAAGCGACTGGCAAATGCTTTAAATGCAAAAAGTTTAATAAAAAATTATTTATCAATTCGTTTTATCTTTTTTTTTTTATTCCACAAATTAAACATTAAATAAATCTATGTTTTTTTTTATTTGAACATTTATTTATTTACATTTTTCTTTTTTAAATTCATTTTAAAGTGGCACTTACAGCCTCCAACTTACACGACATGTCAATCAGTAATAGCAAACGGTTTTAAACTATTTTAAACAATATTTATAAATAAATGAATAAATCGTATCATGCAGTTCTTCAGACCACACGAAGTATATGTAGATATTGAGTCGTGTCAGCAACTAAAATATACATTTTCCTTTTCTCTCTCTCTCTCTCTCTCGCTTTTTTAAACACGTTAGGCTACTATGTTTTCTTAATGCTGAAAAGGTTTATCATGCTGTGTATTATTTGCCAACGTCCTATTTATATTTTCAGTTATATGCAGGCTATATGACACAGTATATTTGCAATTCATTTACAATAAGAATTGTGCATTTTACAATACTCTGTTGGATTGATTGAAAATTGCTTTATAAATAATTCCAAGGATAAGCATTTTAAAACTATATGTAGGCTACATGTAGAAAAAAAAGTAGCCTATCTGCATTTGAGGATAGACTGGATGTAAAAATCGCGAGCTTGTTATTACATCATCCCCGACTGTATGCATACATACTTCGTGCTCTTCATCATGGCCTGTTTTTCCAATCATGCACACAATTCTGCCATTCTTCCGAACGGCTTTCAACGCCTTTTTGGCTAGACTCATTTTGCAACACGTCAAGCCAATGATGCGCGCAGCCTTCAGTGTTGCGTAACACATAGGCTACTGTCGGGTTCCTCGCCAACCCTCTGTCCATCAGCGAGGATGATGCGCGATGCTCTGCTTGGGTAATGACGGATGCTGAGCTGCGTCCCGCCCCCTCTGCCCCCCATACGAACGCTGCTCCATGGTGCCAGCAGACGGACATCATTACACGGCCGAGGAAAACAACAAACAGCCTCCATCAATAGTGAGTTGATGAATAAGAATATCTCACTGCACTATGGATAAATTAGAGCATATTAAACAATCAGTTAGTGATGCAGTTGCTTGCTGTCGTACTAGAGTCTGTTGGGCACAGGTTGGCGTTTGTGCCAGTTTGCTGTTATTAATAATCTCGATCAAATGGAAACGCAGGAAACTGTAGTCTATTTAACAGCGTAAATATGGTGATATTGCTCTTTCATGTCTAGGAGGGACTCGACGTTTGTTGCATATCAAGCAGTAGTGGCTATACAGATTAAATGTATCAATATGTGACATGCAATTTAGTTCTAGTTTGGCAAATAGGAACAGGAAAAAATCATCTTCTGTCAATATGCTTATAGTCAGAGTAAGCCGTAGCCGATCTGTTTGAGTCTATAGGCATATGGTGCATTAAAATAAGAAATAAGAGCCATATGTTGTGTGTTCGTGTGTGTGTTTCCATCCTATAGGGGTTGAGATCATCACCCGTGTAGGTCGGTGTTAATGAGTGCCGCCATGGCAAACAGGGGCCCAAGCTATGGGCTCAGCCGTGAGGTCCAAGAGAAGATTGAACAGAAATATGATCCGGAGTTGGAGGCTCGGCTTGCGGAATGGATTCTGGTCCAGTGCGGCGACGACTTGGAGCGACCTGAACCTGGCAAACAGAACTTCCAGAAATGGCTCATGAGCGGAACTGTAGGTGTTGAATAAGGGATATGAGAAAGGAAATTATAGGGAGGTGCTTAAAGGCACAATATGTAATTTTCACAGCTAGAGGGCGCGTATTCAAAATAAACAAAGAAGCAAAGGCTTATCCGACTGGACTCGGGCAGAAATCATGTTCATGGATGAGCTAATGATTTATTAATGTAGTAGGGTGAGGCTGAAAGCCGTCGAAGCGAAACGAAACCGCTGACCGAGCGTGACACACGGCTCGAAAGCAGCGGCGCTTTTATTATGCCACAGTCGACCGCTTCCGCTGCTTCCGGTCGTGCGTATGTGGGGTAAAGCAGCGGAGCTTTTATTATGCCACAGTCGAGCGCTTCCGCTGCTTCCGGTGGTGCGCATGTGGGGTAAAGCAGCACTGTTTTATAATACTAGATACATTTGAAAGTTCTGTTATAATGCTACTCTGTGCGGTCGTCACCGGTCTATTAAAACACACAACATATTAAAGCGTCTTTGGTGTTTCTATGTTTTCTACAAAACAAAACCGGAAATCGAGGGGTTAAGACGTCTTTGGCAGGCGACACAATGCCACTATGGACACGGTGCGTGTCACTAGTTAAAATTGCTTATTTCTCTGGATTTAAACATTCTTCGAAACATTTGGGATAGTGTAAGTACACAAGTCAGCAAAATATATAACACTGTTCTAGTGGTTTTTGGATATTTTAATAAAAAAATCTTACATATTGTGCCTTTAAGGGCTCATTTAAAAATCACTATATTAATGTCAGCAGCTAATTTTTAACACAGGGAGCCTAAAAACTAAAAACTTATCTTACACATCTGAGAGCTGGAACCATAATCTGGAATAATCATCACATTGCAGAATAATATTATGTATTTGACATGATTATGGCACTGTACAATGAAAAGGCATTGTGGATATGTGAATGTGGGAAAAAATTGGTGTAGAAACAATTTTGACTCAGAAATAGTATTTTCTTGTTAAATATACTTCAGTAATATTATTCAAGTATTCAGGACATTTTTGTACCATATTTTCAATTAATATGCTGCATCCCAATTACTGTGCACTAAAAACTTTGTTAACTTTGCTGATGATGGGAAAGTACACATTTTTGAATACGTAATAAGACAGTGTACAAGTATTAGAACACTGTCTTGCCATAAAATTGCGTCTTGATACCTATACATACCTATTGTTGCATTTGCATGTAAGCATTAGCATCTAACTAAGTTTATTATCATACTATTTTACTTCACTTTTTAGTAAAAAATAATCCTTGCCCACTTTTGCATTTTAGAAAAAAAAAAGCTTTGGGTAATATTAGCTGAGCAAGTAGGCATGGATAACCCCTTCATAGATGCACACATTCACCGGAAATAGTGCACCATCCATACATGTTTGAGAAACACTGTACTATGATTTGTGAATTGCAATCTGCTATTTAAGACCCATAATATGCAAAAACTGGGATGCAGCAATTTTACATGACACCTTTATAAGTATAAGACACCTTTCTGTCTCTTAGTTATTGTTTTAGTAAAAGTAGGATGACATTAAGAATCTGGCAGAACTTAAATGTTCCTCCTTTCTCTCCTCGCTCTTCCTGTCTCCAAACCCCTTCCCAGATTCTCTGCCGGCTCATCAACAGTCTGTACCCCAGAGGTGAGGAGCCAATTAAGAAAATTACAGAAACTAAAATGGTCTTCAAGCAAATGGAAAAGATTTCTCAGTTCCTGCAGGCTGCTGAAGAATATGGGGTCTCCAGAGGAGACATATTCCAAACTGTTGATCTTTGGGAAGGTAACACACACACACACACACACACACACACACACACAATGCAAGTTCCTCTTTCACAAAAAGCAAATAACTAGGAACTAATCTTGAATAAACTGTGAAAACTTCCAATGTTTTTAGAAATTAAAGAATGTCGTCTTTGCTCTCCAGTGGATGCCACTGACCTGTGGGACGCCCTGTCAGAAAGGACTGAATGCAAATTCATTAATCCAAGTAAAATCAAAACCAAGACCACATACTCTACAACGGCCCAAATGCATCTGAATGACTCACTGCACACACACACACGTTATATCTAAACCAGCAGCCAAACTGTGTACATCAGTAGATTTACAAATCAACATCATTTTAAATCTGTTACTAGCGAGGTCTGGCTCACAAGTTTGAATGATCTCATTTAAGATCAATGATCCCATTTATCTACAGTTTGATTTGATTTGAACTTTGACAAGTTTACAAAACTATTTCCTTTGTGGTCCTCCATGTTATTATCCCAGTATCCTTGTTCAATACTAATAAAAAAACAACAACCATCACATAGCATACATTCAAAAAATTACCAAATGAACACATGCAATATCTTATCTCTCTCTCTCTCTCTCTCTCTATATATATATATATATAAAAATATTCTAACATGCATTTGAAAACTTCTCAAATAAGTTAAAACTAGTTAATGACACTGGTAATTAATCCCATGCAATTGCACTAGTGTACAAAAAAAGTATTTTTCCCCACCAAACTTTACAATTTACATGTGCCGATATTATAATTCCTACGTCTGGTGTCATAGGTATGCTGACATTATCAGAATAATTTACTCAATAACTTGGAACCAAATGATTAAAATGTTTCTGTGTCATACCCAATTAAAAAAAATTAATTCTCTCTTTTTTTCAACTGACAACAGGCCTAAACCTTTAAAACATTCACTACTTAAATGAAAGTAAGGATGAATTTGTCACATTAGTCTAATTTATTTGGAACCTTCTGCAGTTTATCTTTCATACTCTGTATGAAACTACTGTACCAAAAAAAAGGCTGCATAATCAGAGTGCAGCTGTATCAATGCACCTAATGTATGAACATCCAGTAAATCCAATTTAATTCTACCCTATATTTTATTAAGAGCATTTCTAGCTATAAATTCACCTGTTAAATTATCAATAAGACATGCTAAAATAAACATCCTTATGCAATCTCCCTCTTAAGACAAAGAGAGTCTTACCTAGATGTAAGGAAAGTTTATTATCCAAAAACCAAGTGGACACCTCTTGTAACTGACAAAACTTTCTATCCTCAAGGACGCCTTTGCTTTGATGAGACACTAAAATTGCTGCATCAGCTGCATAAAGAGTTCCTCAGAACTTGCTAATTTAAGATCATTAATATATATTAGAAAAAATATCGGTCTTAAAACGCTCCCTTGAGGAACACCACAGGTAACAAGCTAGACAATATACCTTTAACATCTACTCTCTGACGTCTATTTTCAAGATAGGACTGTATCCACCTAATAGCCTTTTCACTGCAACCTATTGCCTTTAATTTATACAAAAAAATGGAATGATCTACAGTATCAAAGACCTTCTGAAGATCATAACAATTCCACATAATTTACCACTATCGGCCACCTCTCTTATCCTATCAGTCATATATAACATACATGTCTCAGTGTAAGTCTAAAACCTGAACGTGAACATCATGCAAAATGTTATTTCTACTAATATATCTTTCAGTCTGGTCATAAACTATTTTTTGCATTATCTTTGACAACACGCATTGGACAGAAATGGGTGTGTAATTAACAATATTCACTTTACTGCCCACTCTGGCACTCTTTAATTCATTAGGGATTTTTCCTTGTTCAATCGATAAATGTATTATATGTGATAAAAAAAGGTGCAATAGCTTTATAGCAGAGTCCCTAAAAATTTTGCAGGAATATTATCAATGCCAGGCACTTTATTTTAAGCTCACTAATATATTTTAAAACTTCACTTTCACATACTGTGCTTAACTTAAAAGACACTTGAACAATTCCACACTGAGAATAAAATGGTTGCACTTGCTTTTCATTATAAATATCAGGTTGCCCTGGAAGCTGATTATATAATTAACTGGCCACCGATATAAAATACACTGCAAAAAATGCTTCGTCTTGTTTCCAGCCAAAATATCTAAAAAAAATTAAATCAAGAAGGATTTTCTAGACAAGTAAAAATGATTGTCTTGTTTTCAGAAAAACAAGTCGAATATAAGTGAGTTTTTGCTTGAAACAAGCAAAATAATCTGCCAATGGGGTAAGCAAAATAATTTTATTTCAAACAGAAAACAAGATTTTTTTTAAAAGATTGTAATTATCATCATTTTCTCTTTTTTTCTCCTGCAATTCAATTGCTTGTTTATCGAATGTCTGGATAAACTAGGTGTCTTGGTGCTTATGTTTTTGTGTGTGTGTGTATTGTAAATAGGTTTCACTTACAGCCTGCAGAGCTCCATTAGGTGTTGATAGTTCTCTAATCGTGAGCTTTGGACATTCGATGTGGCTCATGTTGGAGTCAGCACAGTGGTTTACATCGTTTGAGGAGGTGGACTCTAAATGTGCAGAAGAGTGGGACTTGTTTTGTGGGGTTCTGCAATGTTCTGTTCTTCTTCATTTATTTATTTTTTTTTGGAGGGGATGCAGACTTATTTCCTTTTTTTTTCCCAGTAAGGTTTAGAGTATTATAATAAATGACTGACACTATTGGTTGCTCGGGTAACCATACTAGGAGCTCTTCCATCAGATTTTTGAGCTGGAATGTTAAGAACGTTATCTGTAATCCAGTCAAGAGATCAAGGCTATTTTCACCTAAAAATTCCTTAATAGTGACGTTGCATTTTTGCAAGAAGCCCATTTGAGAAATGAAGACCACATTAATCTCAGGTGTTTTTTCTTTCAAATTTCAATTCTAAATCCAGAGGGGTTGCAGTGTTATTTAATAAGAGTTCATTTTTCTCTTACTAAGGTCATAGCAGATAAAAACGGTAGATATTTGATCATAGCTGGCACGCTATTTCAGAATCCTGTTCTCCTTGTTAACGTTTATGCACCCAACTTTGATGACTCCAATTTCATAAATCGGTTGTTTGAAACTCTTCCCTCTTTGAATACTCATAATTTTTGCCACTGATCTCAATTGTGTAATTGATCCTGCGTTGGATCGATCAAATCCTCGTGGGTTGATTCCACCTTCCATGTCTAAAGCAGAGACCAGAATTTATGATTCCTCCCCCCTAAGTTTCTTTTCTTTTCTTTTTTTGCTGTAAAAATGTATTTATTTTTTTAATGTGGACTGTCTTCATTATGTCTGTTGTTTCAATTATTATGTATTTTACTTTCCACTCATAACAAAAAATAAATAAATACATAAAATAAAAAAATTTATAACATCACTTTATATTGGAATTGTTGTACATCTCTAACGTTGTTCTTATGTACTCTACTAAAAGTATGAATTTTTAAAAAATAAGTACTTTTTATTTGGCAAGTATCCATTAAATTGAGCAAAAGTGACAGCAAAGACTTTTAAAATGTTACCAAATATTCTGTTTGGAAACAGTGTTGCTCTTTTAAACCTTTTATTCTGTTAATCAAAGAATCTGGGAAAAATCCAGTTTCCACAAAAATATTAGACCGCAAAAACGGTTTCTTAAGCAGCAAATCAACATATTAGAATGATTTCTGAAGATCATGTGACACTGAAGACTGGAGTAATGATGCTGAAAAGTCAGCTTTGATCACAGAAATAAATTATATTTGAAAATATATTAAATAGAAAATAATTATTTTGAATTGTTATAATATTTAACAATATTACTGTTCATATTACACATTAAAACATAAAACAATTAAGCCAAATTTGCATTTAAAGTACACTATTTAAAGTATTATTACACAACACCTTAGCTTTGCATTGGTGTCAAGATCACAATGTTTATTTTGTGATCACTCTACATTATCCCTTAAATTAAACATAACTTACGCTATCTCTTGGGTGTATGGCACATACGAATTCTTGATGTGCATTTTTCTGAAGCATTTATTTTATCTGAAAATGTCAACATGACTGTGCATTGGATAAATCCTTGGGATTTAACCATTGTCATTAACACGGTGTATATAGGAACGTACAAGATGCCTTTGGCAGGCTCTGTGTCACAGGTATCGTGTTTATGAGGCTTTTCGCTCTGTTTTAAAGGAAAGGACATGGCTGCAGTCCAGGGGACACTGATGGCTCTGGGAAGTGTAGCTCTCACAAAGGATGATGGACATTACCGTGGAGACAAAGACTGGTTTCATAGGTGAGCTGGACAAAGAAGGGTGTCACCCGTTTGCACTTTGCCCATAGATGTGCTGAGACCGGCAAGTAAACTCTCTGGGCCTTTGCAGCAAAGCCTTCTTTCCTGGTGTAAAATGTCCAGAAAATAAATGTAGCTTATCTTTAATTTTCTATGTATATCTAATCACTTTCAGCTCCTGATTATGTCCGTTGAGGCTTTGTCAGCGTACAAAGGAAAAGTGGTGAAAGTTTATCTATAATCAGAAGTTATCCGTCACAGTCTGGGCAGAACTGCCAACAGTGCAAACGAATAGGATCTAAATTCACATTCATCAGCCAATCAGATTGTTTTATTTGTACCTGGTGGGTGTGGTCTTTGCAGAGGCCGTCTAGCTGGCTTTAAGTCAATCACGCATGAAGTGATGTAGGTAAGATGCGAGAGACCTTCTGTAAGAACTGCTGATTTATTACAAAGAAACGGAGGGCTTATTTTCATTGGTAAGTGCTTTTGGTGTGTTATCTAAATCGGCTATTGCCTATTTATCTAATTATGATTTACTGAAGTTAAAATTTTGTGACAGATTCATAGATTTGTGGGCAGCAAAACAACACAAATATGAAAGTAAAAATATGAGATAAAAAGTTTAATCTTTTCACCTCATTTGAACTTTCAAGTCATAATTACGACTTTTTAATGTCATAATACTAATGTGTCGTAATTCAGACTTTTTATCTCGTGCCATAATATTGACTTTCATAATTATGACTTTTTAAGGCCATAATAATGACTTTGTATCTCATATGTCTTTAAAGCAATAAGCCCCAAGAAGCCGTGGTTTACAGTGAATTTATAACAGCTAAGGGGCGTTGTTAGGTACGAGCTGTTATAAATTCACTGTAAACCACGGCTTCCCGGGGCTTACTGCTTTTATAAAACGGTTATTCCATATACGTAGTAAGGTTTCACAAAATAAAACAGAGCAAATAAAGTGTAATGATGTTAATAAAAACAGTATTCTTCCACCAAACAATGTAGTTCCTCAGAAACAGTTGTGGTTGCAACAAAGTGGTTGCCGAGCAACACACAGACGTAAACAAAGGTGTATGTTTGTAGAGTAATTTACAACAGCTTTGAACACGGCTCAGCCAATCAGAATCAAGCACCGGAACTATACGCTTTATAAAGTATCTTCTTGTGTGACAGAAATTGGCTTCTATAGCATTTTCATGTCTTGATCATCTGATTTTTTTTAGATTGCAAAGACCTCACTTTGAAATTACATAAGCAGTGGCACTGCATTGGCTGAAGCTAACTTAAAGACCCAAATCAGTGACAGAAAATAAGAAAAAAGCACAGTGTTTTAATTTATATTTAAAATTCAGTGTTTTAACACAGCTTCTGTGCTTTCTGTGGACTGGCACATGCAACTGCATGTGTTCGTACAGATCACAGTAGAGTGTCTCATTGGTCTGGTTATAGTGTGCTCTTTTTGCAGCACAATGCGCCCTCAATGATCCCTTTTGCACACTGGTGGAACATTTACAGCTGTTTAAGTGCAATATTACAAAAGGCCAATAAGCACTTATGAAGAAAGAATAAATAGTGGCGAGGCAAATAGCTTTGGATCTTTGAAATACATTCTGAACATTCTGTTGTGTTATCAGTAGTAAAAACACTTTTTTTTGCAAATTGAAACAGACTTTATGCCAACAGTCAGAAGTGTGGATCTATGGAAGTAAATCAAATCAGAAACAGCTGCTCCGTCTCATGCAACCTCTAAGTACACACTTCCTGCATTTCAGCATTTTTAATTGTGTTTTAGGAAAGCCAAGGTCCACAAGAGGGAGTTTTCTGAGGACCAGCTGCGTCAAGGTCGCAGTCTTATCGGCTTGCAGATGGGAAGCAATCGTGGAGCGTCTCAATCTGGCATGGTAGGGTACGGCACCCCACGGCAAATCATGCGCTATGACTCTCCAAGACACAACGGCCATCAGAGCAATCCCTAAACACTACATAGTTCTGTATTTAAAACCTCCACTGGAGCCCAAAGCCAAATCCAGAGCTCCAGATGTAGGATGAATGTGTACGTGTGTGTATATATAGACTCTCACACCAGTCCAAGAATTACACACATCAGAGAGTTGTCCCTTCACCCACAATGCACCAGTGCCGGCTGTTATTGCCTCTCAGGCAAGCTCCAGAGCAAGGCCAAAATGTGCAAAATAAAGAGTTTAAATTTAATATAGTATCAAACGGCTCAATTCAATCTCTCTAAACGTGTAGCCCTTTAAGAATGGTAAGCTGACAATCTGGTTAACGTCCATTTACAATTACGCATTTACCCAAAGCGACTTAAAATCAAACCCAAGCACCATACTCTACCAGGTGGGTTGATCGAGTGCATGCTGTGCAATAGGAACATACAAAAGAAGAGTCTATTTCTAATTAAAGCCATATGTAACCAATCAGTGTGTCAAGATATAATTGTATTTGGTTAAGGTGATACTGTGCTGATTTGCTACCAAATGTACACTATTATTATTGATGTATACTGTCTAACTATAAATGTTCCTGTTCCTGCTAGCAGAATGCGCCAAACTAATCGACTCAGGTCATCCTATAATGTCTTCACTAAATGTCATGGATGTGTCACTGCAAAGAACTGATGCTATACATTCCAGTGAGAAAAGAAAAAAAAAAAAAACTGTACTTAAAGAGTCTGTATCGAGTAAAAAATTGTGGTATGAAAAGTCAGTTTAAATGCAGCTATTTTCAACTTTTGTTAATTTTATGCATTGACTAACATGCATGTAAAGTAAATGTGCTTCTGATGCTAAGATTGTACTGCAGATTATTATATTTATTTATTGAAGTGTCATGTTTGTACCTATACACAGTACCTTTGACAATCAAAATACTTTCCAATTGTCATGACTGAAATGTTTGGCTGTTTAGTTTTAATTTTTGTGGTTTGATTTTAAATCCATTTATTTGTTAGAAAAATTAGTCTTCAATTTAACTTACCATCTTTAACATCCTTTAAACATTTCCTGATTTAGTTTTAGTTTTTTGTTATTTAGTAAATGTATTAGTTTACATTTATTGGAATGTAGTAATGTTTTTTTATTCAAAATTGTTGAAGAAAAGAAAATTGAAAAGAAAGGACTAGACAAGATATTAGTCTCAATATTTAAATGCGTGCACAAATATCTATTAATTCGTTAATTGTTGCAAATGTATCTTACTCTTCACTGGTAGTTGTTTATGTGTCTGTGCAAAGTAAACTCTTCACAAGACCATTTTGTGTTTGAATTGGAACATCTTTGGTTGTTGGCAAAAATTATGATACAGATACATAACTATTCGCAAATGTGCCTCAATGTACAAATCATTGCACATTAATTTAATTCTGAGCTTCACAGACACAAGCTGCAATGTATTGGTTTATGGTGAGATCCATTGGTTTATCTATTTGTAACATCTGTTGAACTGATGGAAAATTGTGCACGCAAGCATTAATAGTTTTGAGGCCGATTTCTTTATTACTGTGAGGTTTAACCATTTTAGATGGTGATTAGTGTTATGTCAGAGTAAACCTGCACTTCATTAGAGATCATGACCACTGGAGAGGCTTGCATAACTAAAGGTAACCACCTGCTTTTATCAAAATGGAAATGGAGACGCATGCATACCATGCATATAGGTGACAGTAAACAAACTTGAGTTTATTTCAAGAGCTTAGCGTAACGCTCTCCTTCAGCTGATATACATGTTCATTCTGTTTACTGTTAAACATCCAAACCATCACAATGGCTTCACAATTTTGTCCATGCACATCTGTCTCTCACACACTCACTCACTCATATAGCGCTCTGAAAAACAAAACATCTGAACAGTAAGAATATTGAAACTAAGTGGAATGAAAACAAATAAAAACAAAACAAAACAATGCAAAGTACAATGTCTTTGTCTTCTTTGTGTTCTTTGACTCAGCCATCTGGGTGTCCATCTGCCTCTTCCACCACTTCAGCATGTTTAAGCTGAAAATCAAAGCAACATGTACATTTATGCACATTACCAGGACTCGTGTCATTTCATTGGCTGGGAGATCAGACCATACAGAGTTTCATGACTGGACTGAAAATCATGGATTGCACACCACATGACACTTACCTGTACTTGTTTTAATTTTGTCCTACAATCCTTAACAGAATTCAATAAAGAAAAGTAGATGGCCAATCAAATCAAAGTGGGCGGGGTTTACTGTTCACAGAAGCAGTGCAAATTAACGTTGAAAGAGAGTGAGTTGAGATGAAAGTTGCAAATAATTTAATATTAGTCAACTGTTTTACGACAGAAATATTCAATGACCGACAGCCATATCCAGTGATGCAAACTGCTCCACTTTTTTCTCAAATATGGCCATTTTGAGAGCGAGTGATGAATGTTTCGTGTGTGAATTATCTGCGTCGGTGTCTCTCTCTGCAAACAATGAAGCTGTAAGTTTAGTTGCTTCAAAAACAGTGATTTTACCTCCTCGTTAATGAGAAATATAATGTAGTGATTCAGTACTGAAGCTATTTTTTAATAAATGTCAAAAGTTTCTGTGCTCCTGAATGAGTCTCCTATCTTGAGAAATGGTTATAATGCACACCTGCAATAAATATATATATGTATAGAGGGCTCGAATTGAGATGGGGATGGCATTCCCCTGGTTGAAAAAATGACAAAAAGCATCCCCTCTGTTAAACTACCGACCCCTTTAGATTAATGTTGTGTATTATGTGACACTTATCATGCAAATTAAATGTTACAATTCTCTATGTATGATAATTTACGAACTAAATAACGGTAACGCTTTACAATAAGGTTCATTAGTTAACTACTTTAGTTAACATGCACTAAGCATGAACAACACTTCTACAGCATTTATTAATCTTAATGTTAATTTCAACATTTACTAATGCATTATTAAAATCAAAAAGTTGTGCTTGTTAACATTAGTTAATGCACTGTGGATTAACATGAACTAGCAATGAATGACTGTATTTCCATTAACTAACATTAACAAAGATGAATAAATACTGTAATAAATGTATTGTTCATTGTTTGTTCATGTTGGTTAATACATTAAGTAACATTAAATAATGGAACCTTATTGTAAAGTGTTACCAAATGTACTTTCCTGAATATCAGCATGTGTGTGCGAGCACAAATGTGATATTAATTTTATACAACAGTGTCTCTCTCTCTCTCTCTCTCTCTCTCTCTATATATATATATATATATATATAGAAGTAAAATGGGCTGAGAGTTTAATGCAGAAAATTGCTGATGGAGATTCAGATCATCTTTTATCATCTCTGTTCTAACTCTATTGCAGTCACCTTGAGGTTGTTGTAGTGTTCAAGGCTGCGGCAGTGCTCTGATTTTGCTCTTTTCTCGTCAGTGTAGAACATGTTACATAGCTTGCAGAAGAAACCAGTTACTGGGATGACGTAGTTCACACCTGAAATAAGAGAAGTGTTTCCTGAGACAAGATTTACAGTTTTTTCCTCAATTGCTTAGACACTAAAAATCACAATACATTGGCATAAACATTTTAAACCACCAGAAAAAATGGACTAAAAACACTACAAGTGTTTTCACACAGGTTGTAAATATGCTGAACCTTATTTGCATCTAAAAAACAAAAAAACTCATTGGGAATGAAAACATTTTTGAAACTTTAGGAATTGGCCTTAAAGGCCTTAAACTTCAAATGAACAGCATTCTTTGCTCATTTTGGTTGTTTATGAAGCTATGCCAGAGATGCAAGCTTTCCTAAAATGCACAAAGCGTATGGGAAATATGTAAGATATGACATTAATTTTTGTGTTAAATGCATCTAAAGTAAAATTTTGAATAGTCAAGTAATTAAAGACACAATTACTTGCGAGCACAAATCCCAATCTTTCAGACTATTATTGTTTTTTATTGCAATAGTACTTTTATTTTGGCATGCTTTAAATTAAGCTCTAGTGGTTATAATAATGCAATGACCAAGTGTGTATAATAATACAAGCAAGTGTGTGATGGACTTACCCACAATCTGGTCTGGCTGATAAGGGCTCAGAGGGGTTTTCTCCAGCTGACTATCATCTTCTGAACCTTTACTTTCACAAACCGGAGCCCCGCCGACACCGACACAAGAACTCTGCTGGTTCTGCAAACACATATGATTTTTACTGACAGAGATATCATATATTCCGGACACTTGGCTACTGTTTTTTTCCTTCAACTCAACCATTTAAAAATGCAAAATCTTGCATTTAAGCAGGACACTTTCTATTAAGATCATGAGAACAGGTTTAGTCAGATGTGTCCGTGATGTTTTATGTTCACTCTTGATTACCTGGTCATTTTCTGTCCTTTCAGTGCTTGGTTTAATTTCTTTTGTGTCCTTTTTTAACTCTCTCTCTTCTGTCTTTTCAGGGTATCTCCTATGACAAAAAAAGCAAAACCGAAGAGGTCACTATAGACACTCATGCAAAACAAGCATATCAAAAACCTTCTCTGCACTGGATGGAGTTTACAATTTTATTTGAAATTTTGTGTTTATGTTTGGCTAAAGTCTTTTTTTTTTTTTTTTCAAGGTAGTCAGTTACACGGAATGTTTATACACACCTGCAATCATTCATATTATTGATATATTTTAACTTGGAGTATATTTTTTCCACCTCAATCTGACTGCAAGTCACTTAATGTCAGTGGCATTTATTAACACAAAAATAACACAAGCAGATATTTCAAACAAAATGCATCAAAAATATTTAATTAGGTTCAAAATAAAACAACAAAACTAAACATAAGACAAAATATCTGGATATATCCACAGTTAAAGAAATAGTTCACCCAAAAATTTTAAATTTGCTGAACATTTACTCGCCCTCATGCCATAGAAAGTGTATATAAGTTTGTTTATTCACGGGAACAGATTTGTAGAAATGTAGCATTGCATCAGTGTCTCAGCAATGGATGCTCTGCAGTGAATGGGTGCCGTCAGAATGAGAGTCCAAACAGCTGATAAAAACATCACAATAATCCACAAGTAATCCACACCACTCCAGTCCATCAGTTAACATCTGGAGAAGACAAAAGCTGAAACTAATCCAGCATTAAGACATTTTTAACTCAAATATGAGTCTATAATCCATAATAACGCTTCCTCCAGTAAAAAACAATCTCCTGTTGTCTCTCACATCAAAATCCACCCCAGAACAGATTTGGAGAAATGTAGCATTACATCACTTGCTCACAAGTGGATCCTCTGCACTGAATGGGTGCCGTCAGAATGAGAGTCCAAACAGCTGATAAAAACATCACAATAATCCACAAGTAATCCACAGCACTCCAGTCCATCAGTTAACATCTGGAGAAGACAAAAGCTGAAACTAATCCAGCATTAAGACATTTTTAATTTATCTATAGCTTTCTCCAGTTCAAAAGTTGCTCATCTGAATCAGGAGAGAAATCTGCACAGATCAAGCACCGTTTAAACAGCTCTAAACAAATACGTGGCTGGATTTTGACGTGAGAGACAACAGCAGATGCACTTTTTCCACTGGAGAAAGCGTTATTATGGACTGGAGTGGTGTGGATTACTTGTGGATTATTGTGATGTTTTTATCAGCTGTTTGGACTCTCATTCTGACGGCACCCATTCACTGCAGAGCATCCATTGCTGAGACACTGATGCAATGCTGCATTTCTCCAAACCTGATGAAGAAACAAACTCATCCTGATCTCTGATGTCCTGAAGGCGAGTAAAATTTCAGGAAATTTTCGTTTTCAACACTTCAATGAGCTGAACTACAGAAAAGTGAAGTGGATTCATTTGATATCTACTGCATTGACATTTTTAAGTGTTCTCAAACTGTCTGTGGCCAACTGTACATGACAAGGATGGAAAATGTATTTTATAATTTGTGCATCCACTCTATATTCAGTGACCGTTTCAACATTGCACTGAAATGAATGAACCACATTCACCTACCAGCGAATCAGAGAGTCCCCTTTCTTGCACATGACTATCTTCAGCACCGACCCCCAAAATCTGCAAGGCCGCCGATTGTACTGCGCAACCATTTTTTCAGCTGCCTTCGTACTTTCCAGTTGCATGTAACACTGAGAAGGAACAAGTTGAGGCACAGGGAAAAAAAACAAAGGGTTACAATGACATTTTCAACATTTTCCCGCCAAATTCAGTATTTTACAGACCAATATTCCAGACGAGGGGAAACGTACCGTTCCTTGATACCTGTGCAGAGAATAGCCAGTCAGTCTCCCAAAAGGCTTAGTCAGCTTGAAGAGGGATTTGTGAGTGTATTTCTGTCGCAGGTACCTCTGGTTGGGAAGAGAGCTGATGAAAACGGACCTCCCGCTAGGGCTCTGAACATGGTGTGAGGGATTGAAAGCGCCACAATCATTTTAGTTTAATTGTGTACTCATCTACATTTGGAATAACAACATCCTCATGTGTTCACAAAATTATTCTGGCGATTATATGTTACATGGCAAGTAATTTCAACACACATGTATCGTCTGATTTGTATATTCTGTCTATAGTATATATATTGAGTGTCGTTATTTTATTCTCCATTTTTTCTGTTTGTAACTTCTATCTTCTAAATACTTCCTTCTGTCTTCTATGGAGAAATAACTCGCATGTTTAGCGTATCATGGTTTCCATAAAAATATGAAGCAGCACAACTGTTTTCAACATTGATAATAATCGGAAATGTTTTTGAGCAGCGAATCAGCATATTATACTGATTTCTGAAGATCATGTGACACTGACGACTGGAGTAATGATGCTGAAAATTCAGCTTTGAACACAGCAATAAATAATATTTTAACACATACGTAACTGCCATTTTAAATTGTAATAACATTAGAAAATACTTTTTTTTTTTTTTTTTTACTACTGCATTTTTGATCAAATAAATGCAGCCTCCATGAGCATAAGACACTTCTGTCAAAAACATTTAAATATCTAAATTATTCTAAACTTTTGGCTGCTAGTGCATCTTGACTGAAACAATGGGATCACTGATAGATGGGATGTTACTGTAACTGTCGGTCTGTCCAGCATGTTGTTTCTAAACACGTACCTCTATTGTTTTCATGGTGAGGCACATGGAAACAGACACCGGCCTGCCGCATATCGTTGCCTTGTGATCGCTGTAGAACTGCACCATTTCTTGGGCTTTTTCAGCCGTTTCCAGCTCAATCATAGCCTACAAGAACACAAACACACATAATGGCCAAAGGCAAAACCTGCAAGAGAACTGCGATGAGTAAAACTGAAAGTGTATGTGGATGCAACTGGACAGAAGACACAATAGCTATAGAGAGAGTATAAGCACCAATGTCGGATTCTCAAACGCATGGTTTAATTTGGATTCTGTATCGATTCATTTTAGAATACATCAACAGGTCTGTTTCAGTGTTTGCATGATTACATGATAGCTACAGTGTGTTATGTGCATTGACTGCAACAAGCTCAGGCTCACTTTATTTTCACATTTGCAATTTTTTGTTTTGCAGCTCATTTTTTATTTTAGCTCATAATGTATTAACTAACGCAAACATTATGCATTGTTTTTAACTTATAATGTGGTAAATGTTGAAAGGAACCTTTTTAAATGAACTAGGATTAATAAATGCTGTATAAGTGTTAAAGTATTCAACCTTTCTTAAAGTATTATCCAAGTAAGAAAATTCACACACACAAATACAATGTTTATTTAGGTTAGAGAGATGTTTTACACACTAAGAGGAGAGTCCTGTTCAACTTCAAATAATGTTTTTTTTTCTCATCCACTGAAAACATGCATAGCTTAACCAGAAACACTCTTGAAATTTCAGGAAAACATTTTTGATTTGTTCAAATGAAGCTTGCAAAAAAAATTATATTTTTTGCTAGTAATGCAATAAAATGAATTTATCAAAAGTTTTCAGTCAGCCGAAATCAAAAATAAAGTTTAGTTAATAATCAATTAAATAACATTCAAATACAAAAAACCCTGTTGTACAAACATTTAAACTGCACATAAGGCAGTTTTTATATCAACTTTTTAATAATAGAATTGTTTCTACGCCAATTTGTTGTTGAAATATAAACATGGCTGTTAAAACATTTTTTCATGAAAGATTAATTCAAATGTGAATTAAATAATGAAGTATGAAATAATAAGTAAAAATATAATGAATACGTAATAGAGTATAGCATCATCAAGATGTAAAAAAAAAAAATGCTTTTGAAAAGCTGTTTAGGCTGAAAATGTTTAGTTGCCGATATTTCGTGCATCACTAATTTTTACCCAGCCGCAAACACAAAACACTGACCTCCTGTTTGAACGTGGATAAATGCTTGACCATGCTGCCAAAGGGTGCAGACAGACTGTAAAGATCCTTCATCAAGTCCGGGGTCTTCTTTACAGGCCACACCACCACTACTTTACTATCCTGAAATAAAACACACAATGCTATCGTCCATACTGTTAACTGGAAATACACACGTTTATTTCCTAAGACGTCCAACATGTACGGTAAATGAGAGATGTGATACTTACCTTTGGCACAGTGGAGTCTGGAATAAAAAGGGAAAAAGTGTTAGTCATAGATTAAAAGTACATGATTTGAATTTAAATTTGGCATGACATGAAAAGTCACTATTTTCTAAATGCATGTTAGTGATAATAAACTCATAAATGCACGAGTTTTATTTTTTTAAATGTGTTTTGCCCTGGTAATATTTAATGGAAACGTATCACCTCCTGCATTGTTGTCCAGCTCATCTAATGTAACGAAATCTTCTATGTTTTCTGGAAATTCTGCATCATCCAAATCACGCTGGAGAAATAAGACACAGAAAAGCACACACAACATGTTCATGTAATTTCTGCATGTTCAAAAAGTCATAAACCATAACACTAGAAAGTATGGTGAAATGCACTTAAAACATATTGGTAACACTTCATTAGCTAATGTATTAACTAACACGAACAACACATTTATTACAGTATTTATTCATTTTTTTATGTTAGTTAATGGAAATACAGTTAGTTAGTTCATGTTAATTCACAGTGCATTACCTAATGTAGAAGCACGACTTTTGATTTTAATAATGCATTAGTAAATGTTGGAATCAACATTAACTGAGATTAATAAATGCTGCAGAAGTGTTCTTCATGCTTAGTTTATGATAACTAATTAACCTTATTGTAAAGTGTTACCAACATATTTATCAACAGTCTTTTGTAATTTTAGGCTTTTGTGATTAAACAAGAGTGGGTTTTTTTTTTATATGACTGAAATAAATCTATAGTTAGTGGTTGTTTGGGTTTCATTCTGCATAGATTTGACAGAGTAAACATTACACACCAAACAATGTTCTGCAGAATTGTTGACAGCTGTGGAATTAGTGAACTTTATTTACACGAGTCAATAATTACAGCAATCAGGTGATGCAAAACATGTTTTCTTAAACATGCATCGTGCATTCAGTAAATCTTTGTTTAGACTTTGTTTGGACTGGCTTTTTTCACCTGTTAGTGCCAGTGGTTTTAGACTTTATACTGACACCTATTGGTGTGGATGTAGTGTTTTTTGCTTATTACGTTGCTTTTCATCTTTGGATTTTGGTTACAGCAACTGAAGGACCCAAGGATCTCATTTAAATAGTTAATAGTAACCTGGGTTTGTGCAACTTTAAACAGTAAACAAGCATTTCACAATATTGCTCAAGTTTGAGGTAGGTGTAATTTTTTTAATGTTTTCGAAAGAAGTCTCTTCTGTTCACCAAAGCTGCATTTATTTGATCAAAAAATACAGTAAAAAACTTTAAATGTTTATTTTCAGCATCATTACTCCAGTCTTCAGTGTCACATGATCCTTCAGAAATCATTCTAATATGCTGATTTGGTAAGCACCATTTATTATTCTCACAGTTGAAATTGCTTGTGCTGCAGCTTAACGTTTTTGTGGAAACCGATTTTTTCAGGATTCACTGATGAACAGAAAGTTCAGCATTTATTTTGAAATAGAAATCCTTTGTAACATATCACTCGCGATGAACGAGATGCATCCTTGCTGAATACAAGTATTTAAGAAAAAAAAGTATTTTTTGGTGTTGTTTTGCAGTTCAAACCCAGCAAAAATCAAAAACCTGGAAACAGCACAAGAGAATGAACTTCCATTGAGACGGGAACTAGGGTTGGGCCAATAGACGATGCCATCGCCGATGGCTGATAGACATCACGATGTTGAGCTGACATCGTGACCCCCCCCATACCCCCTGCAATCCACCGCATCCCAATACCGTGTTCGTTCGGAAAGAAAATGACGTGTAATACGGAACCCCTAAAGGGAATAAATACGCGATGGGAGGAAAATACATATTTTAATAATTTCTCTCACAGTTATATCATTGGGTAATTATACTGTATACAGATTGCGGGCATCAGGGAGCCGCTATTATGCCTGGCATTGAAACTGCTTTTGAATGCACGATCGCATTTTAGTTTCACTTTCACTTTCGAGATTCACGATCGCACGTATTCTGTTTATACCATGGAGCGGCAGTACTTATGGTGCGTTCAAGTCATGTCGGATAGATCGTATTTACGAGTTGAACGCACATGAACGCCACCACAAAGTCGTTATTACGAGTGGGAAACTCGAAA